TAAGCTGTACAGAATTATCTCCCTTACACTGACTATTCCTGGATAACACGGGAACTTAAACTGATGCACATTTCAGTCGTGGGATGACGTTGTTAGTGCAGATATAATGATTCTGATTAATATCAAAGATGGTATTTTAGATTAAAACCTTTCACCCAGTAATTTAAAGAAATAGCAAAGAAATGCAAATTACAGATAATCAAAAGTTAGTACTGCAGGCATTCATCTAGACTAACAACTAGTCTCTCAAATCAACATATTTTACAGAAAAAAGTTCATAATAAATTTTTTTTAATGAAACGGAGCCCTGAGACTTTCTTCATTTTCAGAAACTGTGGAAATCTAGACTTGCATGGGCTCTCTTGGATATGTTTGTTTCAGGGTCTGTATGACAGTGGGTACAATGTGTGACGTCCATTTCTGGTGTCCCCCGCCGCGATATTGCTGGAATACTGCTAAAAGCGGCGTAAAACCACACTCACTCACTCACTGTATGACAGACTAGCATTCATCGTGAAACCTGTTTGTTTGTCTACCTCTCAGTACTTGAAGCTGTTATTGCAGTAAAATGCTCTTGAAAACTGGATATGACATCACAATTACCATAACACCGTTACTCGTTTGAAAACAGTAGCCGACACACGGCTGAAGAAAGGCCCAAAACATAGCTGTGACACCCAGCTTAACTAAGGTCTAAAACATAGCTGTGACACCCGGCTGAAACTAAGGTCTCCAAAACATAGCTGTGACACCCGGCTAAAAAGGGTCCAAAAAGGTCCAAAACATAGCCATGACACCCGGCTAAAGTAAGGTCCAAAACATAGCTAAGGTGACACATAGCTGTGACACCCGGCTAAAGTAAGGTCCAAAACATAGCTGTGACACCCGGCTAAAGTAAGGTCCAAAACATAGCTGTGACACCCGGCTAAAGTAAGGTCCAAAACATAGCTGTGACACCCGGCTAAAGTAAGGTCCAAAACCAGCTAAACTAAGGTCCAAAACATAGCTGTGACACCCGGCTAAAGTAAGGTCCAAAACATAGCTGTGACACCCGGCTAAAGTAAGGTCCAAAACATAGCTGTGACACCCGGCTAAAGTAAGGTCCAAAACATAGCTGTGACACCCGGCTAAAGTAAGGTCCAAAACATAGCTGTGACACCCGGCTAAAGTAAGGTCCAAAACATAGCTGTGACACCCGGATAAAGTTTGGTCCAAAACACAGCCATGACAACCGGCTAAAGTAAAGGTCCAAAACATATGACACTAAAAGTGTCCAAAACATACGCGCATCAAATACAGGCCCAAAACGCAACCGGAAACATGTTATTTCTTTCCAAATAAAGTCACCTTCAAACACTGGTGCACACTTGACAACCCTTAGTCCTGTATTTTAAGATACCCTCAACACGTACGCACACGCACGCACGCACGCACGCACGCACGCACACACACACACACACACATGGTTGACAGATAGAAACTTCATTATGTAAGGAATAATATGCACAGTCAGAGAATCGTTGGGAGTTATTTTTACCAAGCATCGGTTACTTGTTATGATTATAACCTCTGGAAGAGAATTTTTATGGATGTCAACTTCTTTATTATGAGGAACACAATGTTACGGAGTATATATAGGCCCATTATAACCTCGGGTTGACACAAATGGGTTCTGTGCCAAACACACATTTTATTAAGTGAGTGAATGAATCATAAATCCCTACTCCAGCAATAAGATGACTGACTGACAAAGAACTATACATGGTGCTCCCATGTGAGGAATCGAACCTTGTGTCAGTCGCAACAAATTACCTTTCTAAAAGATGTTGACATTATAACACAAGAATATACGATAAGCGACAACGTATTTGAATCTAGAATTGTTTAATGCTTCATTTCTTTTGCATTGATAGTAAAGGGCCTTGAGCTGATGAACACCATGTTTTTTGGAGGGAAATACGTAATGTCGGGGTATTCAGGACATTTAGAAAGCGATGAGGGTGAGGTGGGGGCAGATCCGCATTTTACAAGGAGACAATTAAGATACATCGAGTTACAGGGAATATCTGTCAACCTCTGAACTTTCCCAACATAAATTAGTATTATTGTTATATATAGCCTGAAACCTTTTAACCTTTTCCTCTCCAAACCGTCAATTGGATTAGATCAGAAGCGGGATTGGGATGATTGAGTGAACTACGTTTCGCGTGATTTTCTTTCTGCTATATTGCTACGAGAACATGATATAAATTATGACGGCATGACAACAAATGGTTGTGGTATCCATAAAAGACAGTAATAGCCATAAACTATCAGGGTTAGACAGGCCGTTCATACAATATATAGATCATGTAGGAGTACATTATTGCAACAGTACAAGATACTTATATTATAAGGACATTTTGCTTTTTATCAGATAGCGACAGCGTATAACATCAAAAACACTTTTAAAAAAAAAAGAAATTGTTAATGTTGATTTTGTTTATACGTGAAAAATACAAATGCAATATTAAATACATAATGCCATTTTTGGGGTTGAGTCCCATCCGGGACTCGATTACACACTCCTAAAGTACAGATTCAGGCACCTAATCGCCAGCACTGGCCAGCACACAAAGTCAGACGCCTAGACCGCTCAGCCACCGCGGCTTCCACAAAATGGAAGTCGGACAACTGGTCTAGACTGCGGACTTTGTGTACCCCTCTGATAAGTGTTAATTGGCACGGCTCCCACGGCCGAAAACTATGAAATACACAATGCCATTTTAGAAAGTGGTCAAATGTAACATATGTTATATTTGGGATTACACTTTCTCAGTAAATTATAGATTCTAGATTCTAGTCAAACCACACCCTCAGAGGGCACTTTCTAAAATGGCATTGTGTATTTCATAGTTTCGGGAAACGTGCCAATCAACACTTATCAGAGGGTACCCTCCACAGTCAGGCACTTTCTAAAATGGCATTGTGTATTTCATAGATTCAACCATCCGTGCCGTAAGAGGCGAGTAGTTGTCTTGCTGACTTGGTTGACACATGTCACCGTGTCCCAAGTGCGTAGATTGATGTTCATGATGTTGATCACTGGATTGTCTGGTCCAGACGCGATTATTTACAAACCGCCGCCTTAGCTGCAATATTACATATAGACAGTATCAAGCAAACAATCTCGAGATGATACAATCTTCACGCTTTATTAATACTCTCGTGTACTATGCTTTATTCTTTGCATTCGGCACTGAACGTTCGGTGGGATACCTAGTGGTTGCAAACTATGAATAAGGAATTTCTTATGCATGCAGATATTGCTTATGAATGCACTGAACGTGGTGCAGTATCATGTCAGGGTCATCATAGGTAATCATGTTGTTTTATATGTGCTATCATTGATACGTCTAAAAACATCCATGTCAAGTTATGTGAATGTGATATCTTATGTCCCACATGAATCTTCTCTTACCGCTTGCTCAGAATTCTATACTGACATGTAAAGTGACATTTGACCACATGTAACCTGCAGCCTGAGGATGATGTATTCTAGTTCCATGGACTTCAGTATATTGCTCTGCTGCAAATTCATTCTTTGTTCATGTATTTCACCCATGATATACTACAAACAAAATATATTGGAACACCCTAAAATTTGATAGTCATACATAAACTGAAACGTGGTGAGGTCATTTATACTCTTAAGGTAAATGCAACTTTTTATGTGCTTAATGGGCACTTTAAACGACATGTTGGAACATGCAGTGAAGCAACTGATTCAATATTCGTTGAGTTTGAGTGAAATGAAACATTGTTAAAAACAGCGAAAAACAAGGATGCTGTCTTCCACATGCACTAGGCTGTTGTGTTTTGGGCGTTTGAATCAAACATGGTGCTGGTGTGTTTCAGCATCCTTGTTTTTCGCTGTTTTTAACAATGTTTCATTTCACTCAAACTCAACGAATATTGAATCAGTTGCTTCACTGCATGTTCCAACATGTCGTTTAAAGTGCCCATTAAGCACACAAAAAGTTGCATTTACGTTAGAGTATAAATTACCTCACCACGTTTCAGTTTATGTATGATTATCAAATTTTAGGGTGTTCCCATATTTTTTGTTTGTAGTATAGTTAGTGTCCCCAAACCCGTGAAGTTCCGGATTCAAATTCTTGGTCTTCAGTAACCCATGCTTGTCGTAAGAGGCGACTAACGGGATTGAGTGGCCAGGCTCGCTGATTTGGTTGCGTGTATCCCAATTGCGTGGATCGATGATCATTAGGGCTGTAACGATGCATCAAACTATCGATGGATTGCAATTGTTGATTCTCCGATAGCAATTAATCGATAGTAGAAAAGAAAAGCTATCGATGCATCGATAGTATGTGTGACTATCGATAGTTAAGAAATTGATGGTTATATGCTTTTATTAACTATTTTATGTTGTTTTGTATTTTATTATTGTTTGGATGCAGACTTGCAGCTTCATTGAGTTTATGTTTTAACTGTTTACTTGATCTGGGTTTCACGTTTCTTGTCGGTTATTAAAAACAGACTGAAACTTCTTCAAGCTGTTTTCTATTTCATATACTGTACATTCATTTGGGAAATGACTTCAAATGAGACAATTCAAGGAGAAAAGCAATAGTTGGTCGAAATAGAGTATCGCTATCGCAATAGTATGTTGCAATAGACTATCGCAATAGTTGTTTCCCCTTCAATAGTCACTCCTAATGCGCATGCTGTTGATTACTGGATTGTCTGGTCCAGACTCGATTATTTACAGACCGCCTTCAACATAGCTGTAATACTGCTGAGTGTGGCGTTAAACAACAAACTAACCAGTGAGGCACTGTTTTCCACAAAAACACTATATTTCTCCTGTATGCACGCGGCATTTTACTGGCACTTCAGTTATTTGCTGCCACTTTACCATTACTACAAACAGATGCAGAGTAGTCTCTACTACTATACTGCATCATAACAATAGTACAAAAAAATGTACAAAACACATATTGTTTTAACCGAAGATCTATTTTATTTCAAAGCGCCAATACCTTAGCAGCCTCGGTCAGACAGCTTGAAGTCCTTATAGTAAGTGTAGGTATCTACAGGCGTCGCCCAGCTTGGACTTCCTCCTCCGAAGAAAGTGGAGAAGAAGATCCCTTCAATTTCGATGTTGTCAGACTCCCGAAAGACCAATTCCTTCATCTGCAACACCTTCTTTCTGTTAAATTTGACCGTCAAAACCCCATCTTGTTGGCCAGGAGAATTGAGTTTGACTGTTTGCCTGATTTTCTGCCATTCCCCAGTCTTAAACGCCCACGTTCTTCCTAGGTCATGGCCGTAGTCATAATTACAGTGGACGTGGTTTCTGTCACAGAAACCGGTCTTCTGACTGTCTGGAATGTAGGCGTACACGACACCATCACCGCCTGATCGCCACATGTATCGGGTGGAGAAACAATTGTCGGCGTTTCTTCCTCCGGAACAATCTAGGTTCCCTCCCCAGAGACCAGGCAGCTTTCCCCCTTTTACGAAATCAAAATTGTTCGCGAAGTAGATCTTGTAGTCCAAGGTGAGACAGCTTCGAGGGGAGATGGGTCTGGAGTAAAACTGGGCTCCCCTGTAATCACCGGATCCGGAGTAGGAACCTTCCTTGTAGAAGATTCTCAGGACTTTCTTCCTAGATGACGTATTACCAGGATCGTCAACGACGGACATCGACTCATCCCCAAAGTCACGGCTACTGTCCACATTCCAGTCATCCAAGAAACGAGACTCGGTGAAACTATTTTGCTTCCACAAAGTTATACTCGTTACTAAAATGGAAAATGTATAACTATATAGTATGCACAAACGTAAATCATTCATGTGAACTGTTTCGTTGGTATTATTCAGGCATGACCAATAACAAGTATGACACCCGAACGATCTTTCATTTACCTACTTTGATTGTGTAAGGAACAGAATACTTTAGGTCAATGTTTCAAACATATAAAATATAAGTTTGAAAGGAAAAGGGAAACGATCATACATTTTAAGATCCAGTGAACACCTCATACAGTCAAGTCGGAGGCAACATTATCGGTTTTTAATATACTCATGCCAATAATGGTTGTCACCCCCGTCCCCACCCCAACCCCACACACACCTCACACACCCACCCCACACCCCCTCTCCAATTAAAAAAATTGAAGGGGGTGACAACCATTATTGGCATGAGTATATTTACTGAATCAAGTGTCCCGGTTTTACATATCAGTCCCCTTCCATTACTGAGTATCAAAGTAGCTAAATCGCAAAATAAAACATATCTCGACCTGTCAAATTTCTGATGTTCCACGCCGTGAAATTGCTCGAGAATTGTTAAAAGCGGCGTAAAACCATACCCACTCATTCAGTTACCTTGTGAGAGGCATGACAACAGCAGAGCCCAAGCGTACCACATGGTGTATCTGAAATTAATATTTAACTAAAAAAAATAGGGATGGTCCTGGACTCCTAGTATCAAGGTTTAGCAGGCCATCATGATATACAGTCAAATCCCGATGAGTCGAATGCCGGTGTCTCGAACATTATGCATAACTCGAAGTACCTGTCAGTCCTGACCATTCCCTGTTATAGTTGTCATCATTTGAATACCGGTTACACGAATTCGTCTCATAAATACACACGATGACTCGAGAAGAAAATTTGGTCCCATGAGATTCAAACAACAGCAATCTTGTATACATAAGCCGAAGTCAGTCAATGAGAACTGATCCAATTAACAAACCAGTGCGGCTCACACCTTTCCGCCTTTGACGGGTGAGTTCAAAAGGCAGATTAGTGATTTTACGGAAATCACTGTCTGTGCTAATCAGACTGGAACTGATAAGGTGCCCCTATTAGTGATAGGGAAATCATTAGATAAACAAATGCTTAGGCGGAGGAATTTGGACTGGATCATCTTTTTTTCTACCCTCATAGATATACCTATGTCTCGAATACATCGATAAGTCGAATTTATTACTTGGTCCCCAGAGATTCGACTCATCGGGATTTGTATGTGGTATATTGCTCAGTACAGCGTTGAACAATATTCATTTAGTCATTTTAGACATTGCATGTACATTAAGTTACAAGGTCAAGCGATGTGTTCATACGTCCATACTTATGGCACAATAAGTGTACACATATCAGAGAACTAAATCACATATGGTTTATTACAGTCTCAATAACAAAACTATATATACTGAAAGCCATTAAAAACGCAAATTGGTATTTGTTGTCCTGGAACTAACAAAAGTTCTATTGAAGATTTTGTTTCCTGCGATACAGAGGATGTAGGGATTAAAGGCTGTTATTCTGGCCCATTTCGAGATCGTGTCCCAGAACATTCCTCTCACATGAACTTTGATGCTTAAAACTGAACCTTTTACAGTTCTCGTAAACACACCCACATTCATGAAACACGTTGTGCACGTGCATTACCTGCACCCAGACTCTTTTAAAAGCACAAGGAATTGCGAAACTCAATCACTTTGAGAAAATGCCACGCTTGACACAAGGCGAAAGGAATCAGGCTATCGGTATGGTCAGCCAAGGTGCTTCAGATGTGATGATTGCCAGGCACTTTAATGTGCATCCATCCACTGTTGGTCGACTCAGACAACGTGTTTGGGCCATCGGAAGTGTTGCTGATCGTCCGCGACCTGGTGCACCACCTGTGACGACAGCTCGACAGCACCGCAATATCCGAGTTTCACACTTGCGAAATCGGTTCCAAACAGCTGTTGATACCGCAGGGAGGACAATTGGGACAAGATAACATCATGTCAGCGCCCAAACGGTGCGAAGACGCCTTTCTGCCTTCAACATCCGGTATCGTCGCCAGTACCATGGTCCAACCTTATTGCATCTTTCAATGCCCCGGAGACTGCGAGCATGTCTTGCAGCGCATGGTGGACACATACAATATTGACTGCAAGTGACCCCTCCTTTGTTTGATGTCGTTGTTGGGTCACTGATGTTGTTGATTGGACATTTTCACATGAAATTATCCACAGATGTTCACTTAAAACATATCTGCCAGTTACATTTATATATGTTGACATTTGTGTGAGTAAAGAAAGTATGAATGTCAAATTGCGTTTTTAATGGCTTTCGGTGATATATACGGAAGGCAACTGAGAGGTCACAAGCCGGAAGAAAGATAATTCATGATCGTTAACACATATTTCTTAACATACATGTTCATTAAAACTTTAGATTCGTTAGATACAAAGAGACAATCAGTGTCAACTCTGTAAGTTCTATCGTGGACAAAGATGTATATGATTGGTAATGGATTTACGTCGGATAGGCTTGATAGCATTAGCCTTAAACCAAATCTAAACATTCTGACTATATTTCATGTCCATTTCTCCTTTGTACAGGATTCCCCTAAATTCCATACAAAGAGAGATATATTGCTTGGTCCGGCAAATGCATTCAAAGATTAACCATAATCCTTAACAGAATCAAGAATGGATTTTCTATCACAGTCATTTCTTTCACAGAAATTATTTAAAACAAGTGGATTTTATACTATGGGGATTCTCAAAATTCCGAAATATTTCCTTGAATTTGAGAAACGGACCAAGTTCAGTTCAGAATATTTGATTTTTCGAGTTTGAACACCACTATCTCATATGACAAACGTATGATAAAGCTTTATTCCTTGATCCATTGTGCACTTGTTAGTAAACTTGGGGAGGATATATATGGGCACACCAATGCTTGCGGTCGTTCAGGACAGTTTGTCACAACTGAAAGCAAATGTCATTTAAAGTTTTCTGAGAAAACAGTGTGTTGACTTCCTCATTAATAACATCTACGTGAAATTTGTTGGTACACTATTTAGACAAGAACTGGGCAACCCCGCTGGCACCAACTGTATTCCCCTTCTTGCGGATCTGTTTCTTTTGTATAGGAAAATTAATTTCTATTTGGGGTTGAAAATCAAAACATGGAAATTTTTCACAACATTTATCTAACATGACACAAGGCCCAACATGTGTAGCTGTGAGATATGGAAAGTTCGGGGTGCGGACAACTGGGCCTAGATTTTCGAAGCTCTCTTAGCGCTAAGATAGTCGTAAGTGCCATACATTAACATTAACTTACGACGATATTAGCGAGCGCTAAGAGAGCTTCGAAAATCTAGGCCCTGCACTCGAACCGGTGAACTTACCCTTGTGGCGCCTCCTTGCAATACTAACAATGGTCACACTTGTTCCGTTGTTAATGACCTTCACGTGACGTCAAAGTTCCGATTAGGGACGTGTTATATCCTTTTCATCAATTCACAATGCAACACATGGTGGGAAAATATTGGATAGTAAGTGATGATTTGTCAGCATGAAAGCTTTCATTGATTAAATTATCTCACATATATATTGATTTTTCAAAGGTTAATGTAAGAGCACCGAGAAACAGCTGTGATTTACACTAATCGCGATCTTCGTGCACTCGATATCGGCTTAAATTATCAGCTCCTAATATTTAAACCACACGAAAACACCAGTTTTTCCTACATATTCTACGGAAGTAACGTCTGTTCCACACTTCATTCCATATATACTGAGTCAAAAAAGAAACTTCACAAAATGTAATTTGAAAAATAATGAAAATTTTTCTCTGATGATACATCTATGTATCCGAAATGGTATCCCTATCTTTCGACTCTAGAAAAACGTTAGCAAAACCCACTCAAACCCATCCATTCGTCGTGCAAATGACGTTAGTGCCAAATCAGGTTTTGCACGTGCAGTCGATCACGTGATCTTCGCATCGAAGTTTTCTTCATATGCACGTGTTTGCATTGGCCTCAAGAATTGAAAAAACACTTTTAAACCACAGTTCTAACGGTACTTGAAATGCCACGATTGTCAAATGTGCAACGTGAACTTGCCGTTGGCATGTTGCAAGCGGGAAGATCAGTTATTGACGTCGCAAGAGCAATGGGATGCAGCCATCGTACTGTGTATGACTTGCGAGGTCGTCTACAACAAACTGGCACCATGTCTGATCGCCCAAGGTCGGGTCGTCCACGTGTGACGTCACGAGCAAAAGACCGTCAAATCGTCCTACGTCACCTACGTGACAGATTTCTGCCGGCTACACGAACCAGGGCTGAGATGTTTAGAGGTCGACTGTCCTCACAGACCATTCGAAATCGGTTGCGGGCTGCCAATCTCCATTCTCGACGTCCATATCGTGGGCCAATATTGACGCCGTTTCATCAACGTCAACGTCTGCTGTGGGCCCAACGTCACCTCCGATGGACCCAGAGAGACTGGAATCGAGTCGTCTATAGCGATGAATCCAGGTTTACCCTCAGATTCGCGGACGGCAGGCATAGAGTCTGGAGACGGCGTCGTGAACGGTATGCCCAATGTTGTGTACAGGAAGTCGACAGATTCGGGGGCGGAAGTTGCATGGTGTGGGGTGCTTTCTGTGGGAACAACCGTTCCCGACTTCTGATCATCCGTGGAAACCTCACAGCTGCTGCTTACCGCGACCAGGTGCTCACCCCTGAACTCGTTCCTTTCATGGCGGCTCATGGCCTAGGTCTACAATTCCAGCATGATAATGCTCGGCCGCATACCGCGATGTTGACACGAAATTTCCTTCAAAACGCTGGAATCAACGTCATGGACTGGCCATCGAGGTCCCCTGACCTTAATCCAATAGAGCACGTTTGGGATGCACTTGGGAGAAGGCTTCGTGGTCTTAGGAACCAACCCCAGAATTTGCAGGAACTTAGCGCTGCCTTGCAAGAGCAATGGCGCAGAATCCCCAACCACGTGTTCACAAGCATCGGGCAGTCGATAAGGAGACGGTGTTTGGCAGTGGTGAATGCGCGGGTCGGCCATACACGATTTTGAACTGAGAAATTTCGCATTTTTATTCTTGTGACTTGACATTCTGTATACCCATGTTTTGGAACGGCGGTGTAGCCTAATGGAACTGATTATGGCACTGTCAGTGTATCGAGTACATCTTACAGATCTCAGCAATGAAATAATAACAATTTAACCATCTTACCATCTCTTGTTCTTTTATAGTGCCCTGAAGAAAGAATGTGAAGTTTCTTTTTTGACTCAGTATATATGTTGCATACAGTCAGCTCTCGTTAATCCGACAATCACGTTAATCCGACAAGAAATTAGGGAACCATTTAAAACAGTGATAATTACTCTCGTTAATCCGACATTCTCGCATTCCGACTCCGACACACCAATCTAGCAACCGATCATTGTAAATAGATTGTAAAAACATTCGTTAATCCGACAATCAACACAGCCGGTCGGATGCTCCGACCGTATACAAACATCACACATGAAAGGTGATTAGCGCGTGCCTTACTGGCTGTGAACATCACACTTGTTAATTAGGAACACAGGATAATTAATTGAGGCGATTTAATCAAGAAATAACAGTAGAGCGAGCTGTATAAAATGTTTACAACCGACATGAGTTTTCATCACAAGATGTCTGTCACGAGTACACCAGCTGCTAAGCGACCCCTTGTAGAAGTCACGCCATTGATCAAGAAAGAAATCTCCTTTTGAAGAAAGACAAACCCCAGACAGCACAACAAGAAGTCATCACTTTTGCTGAGCAGAAGTTTGATGTGAAGATTGGACGATCAACCGTATCTGACATCCTGAAGCAGTCTGCTTAGTGGTTGAGCGTCTCTACGACTGATTCCAATGCTTCAAGCTATCTGAAGCCAAAACATCGTTGAACACTTTGCAAACATTTCTGACACACCACTTAGACGTGTTTGATGTTAATGACCATCAAAGACTTTTTCAAGTTATAAATTATATATGTTATGATACACGCCTGATTGTACATTAGACGTCCACATGTTATTATGGAATTAGTTGTATGGAAACTGTAACATATTCAACATCCGGGTCATAATGGCAGCTGATATGCGGTAAAAACAAACGTGAGTTTTGTGCCAATGTGGTCATGAAATAGATATGAAACTGTTCGCTTATGTGATTATATATGTATGTTATGCCATCTATGAATGTTAATAAATGAAAACAAGTATGTATTGTTAGTATTTCTTATTTCTGTGAATATTTTTACATACGATGAAGATAACTAGATCTACCATTTCTGATATGCATGCAACAGTATGACGATCATGACATTTAGTAAACATTGATATTTTCACACAAATACATTAATCCGACATTTTTATTAATCCGACATTTTCGTTAATCCGACATATTTCTCTGCAACCACAAGTGTCGGATTAACGAGAGTTGACTGTACATACATACATACACACACACACACACATACATACATACATACATACATACATACATACATACATACATACATACATACATACATACGCACACATACATACATACACACATACATACACACACACATACATACATACATACATACATACATACACACATACATACACACATACACACACATACACACACACATACATACATACATACATACATACATACATACATACATACATACATACATACATACATACATACATACATACATACATACATACATACATACATACATTTGTATAGCGCACATATCCAGCTCAGCTGCTCAAAGGCGCTTTGTTTTTTTCCTCGATCATTGGATGTCAATCTCAACGACACGTCGTATTATCAATCTCAAGTCCCTGGAGCATACAATTCTTGCAGCCACTATGCGCACCGAGTTAGCGTGGCTTTCCCATCCTTACGAGGTACCCATTCACAGCTGGGTGGACTGGGACACATAGTCACGGTACTTTGTCCAAGTAAGCGCAACTGGGTGTTTGCACGTATTCATGTGGCCATCATCTTCGTGGGTTCTTTTAAGTGCACAGGCTTGTGCACTGTACACTAGGGGTTGTGACAACACTGAAAGAGTCTGCACACAAAGTTGACTCCAAAGTTTTTACACCCAGTCACATGCAGGTGGGCTCGATCCCGTCACCTCACCGCCTGGCGCTTTAGCCAGTTCGCCCACCACCAGCCAACAACCAACCGGACACATATATCTGTTGCATATTTTACTTTGACCTGGCTGACATAGATGTGGTTGTGACCAATACCGATATACAGAGACGTGCGGTGGCTGGAACTTTCCGAGCCTACCTATGAGGGGTCTCGTTTATGGCGTTGGATAATCACATACTCCACAGCGAGATCCACACTTCAGCCAACGTCCACAGAGCCATCCTCCTTATGACATAAAAGTCTTCCTCCACTGGCGGGTATGGAATATATTTAGTACGGTCAACACCACAGTCACACATTGCAGTCATGACATCCACAGACTGTACAGTGCATTCTCTCGGTGGAATTACACACCAAAGCTTTCCAAGACATCGCCCCTTAATATCCACATGCAGTTACCGAAGCAGATTAGCGACATGGATGGATGAATGGATATTACATGCAAATATTTCAGGGACGTTCATGTTCAAAATGTAAAACCACATGGAAAGGGTCATCCAAAAATGTGAGAAACGATTTGGGAGGGTCATCTTTTGCTAAGCTTTCTTGTTTTAGAAAACTCTGACACACATCCATCACCCCAAGCCCTTTCATAATGACTGGTCTCTTTGTGGTGGTTGCTGAGGGTCTTCCTGATCTTGAGCACTTTCGAAGTTCAATCTTCGCCTCTTTACTTCTGCTGCCTCCTCAAACCAGTGGCAAAGACTTTTTTTGTTTTGGTTTGGTTTGGTTTTTGTTGTTGTTGTTGTTTTGTATTTTTTTAAATTTTTTGGTTTCATTTGTTTTCTTTGTTGTTGGGGTTTTTTTGGTGGGGAGCGGGAAGTAATACATGTGAGTGAGTGAGTTTAGGTTTACGCCGCTTTTAGCAATATTCCAGCAATATCACGGCGGGGGAAACCAGAAATGTTCTTCACACATTGTGCCCATGTGGGGAATCGAACTCGAGTCTTCGGCGTGACGAGCGAATGCTTTGACCACTAGGCTACCCCACCACCCCAGTAATACATGTAATACAGACAGATACCAAGGATCGCAGGGTATGCTGCTGCCAAACATGTAACCAGAAGAAGGATTGAAACCCTCGACAACATCGTTTCTGGCAAACACTCAACTCAATCATTTGTAGAGATAAACAGCTTGGACGTTGCTCTGTACCTTACATTAAATGTGTACAATTTAATCATTTGTAGAGCTGAACAGCTTGGACGTTGCTCTGTGGGTTACATTAA